TTTCACCTTTGAACTTGATAATTTTTATTTCAAACATACAAGGATACGATAAAATATAGGTTTAATTAATTTAATTAAATAGCATACGATACGTTTTCAAGGGTTTTTAAATATTATAAATGTTTTAATATTTATACATTTTATCATATTTTGCATATATCAGTGCGTTATTTATTCCATTATCGATTTATTAATGAAAAGGAAATTTTTTTTTTGATTCCTAAATGTAGTAGTAATATATGATAAACGTAATTAAGTAACGTAATAAGATAATATAGCAATCAATAGTTTACGTAAGTGAAAAATGAAAGACGTGAAAAACGCTTGAACATCTATTATCGTCATATTTTGCGCGTGCGCAAAAAAAAAGACACCCACCTGTGTCTTTATATTGTTTCAAGGAGGTGGACAAAAAAAAAATGAACAAACAATCCTTCAAAAAATTTTTGCGCAAAAACTTGTTAATTTTAATCATATCAATGTCACATCATGTTCATTTTAATCATATCAGTGTCACATTATATTCATTTTAATCATATCAGCGTCACATTATATGCATTAATATTTTTAATTCATTTCTAGGGACGTATTTTTCGAGCTGATGATGGCATGGCTTTATTATTTGGATATGTTTCGATGCGGGAACTTTTAGGAATCGAAATTTTAAAGCTTATTCCTGCTATTCAAGTATTTTTTATCAGTATTAGTTTACTAAAATTTAATTCTTTTGTAATTATTCGTTCTCATATAAATATGATTGAATTATAGCTTGAAGCGGATAGTGAAATGCAACATATTTGCGCTCTCAGTATTCGTGGTAATTCAATACCGATTACAGTGAAAGTTAATACTGAAAAGGATTCCGAAAGTAAGTAAAATATTTTTAATTTTAATTTTAAAATTTTTATTCAATGTATTCGCCAATATTTCATATCATTTGGTGAATTTATTTGAATTAAAACAAACTTTTATTTTTTTTCATTTTAATTAAACGGTTTTTTTTTTTTTTTTTTTTGCAAAAATGATGGAAAATGTTGGCGGAATTTTTAAAACCAAAATTAAAATTCTCGAAATTTTTGAAAACAAACAGTTGCAAGCAAAAATAAATGAAAATGGATCTGAAAAAGTTTAGGAATTTTTTTCATAAAATACTGTTACCTTCCTAGATTAAGGTTAATTTAAAAATTTCAAACTTGAAATGACTACATAAAAGCAATTATGGGCAGAAGATAGTGATTATGGGTTATTCAATTTAAACATCTGTTCAGTCTTTTCTGCCAAAGAATTTTTATTCATTTTTTCAAATTATAAAAAAAAAGTAAAAAAAAAAAAATTTGTTATTTACTTTGCAAACCAATTCGTTTCACCGTTATTTAACAGGAAAAAAAAAGAATAACTAAAATTTACACTTCAAAAATTGTTCAAATTTCTCTGAAAAATTAAAAATATATTTTATACTTCCATGTTTTGCTTCCTAAAAAAAAAGAAGTGATTTAGTTTAAAAAAAAATTTTATCTTTTATAATTTTTTTTTTTTTTAATGAAATTTGAAATTTTTGCATCATTTTGGATTTACGAATGTTTGCAAATTTCCTTTAATATCATTTATTTTAGTACTGATGATCAAATAGCGATGATCATATTTGAATTATTAAGTTTTTGTCGCGCAATGTTAACAGTGATAATATATTTTCTTCCTGTTAATACAGTGATAATATCGAATTTTCTTTTTTATGGATTTAAAATCTGAATCCAATTTTTGTGAATCTAAATGATTTCAATTTCTAAATAAATAATTCCAATTTCTGTGAATCTAAAATATTAATTAAAAGTAAGGGAATGTCTAAAAGGGATTTCTTCAATGCAATGGAATTTATTTGAAATAAATTTATTTTGAAATAAGCTTTGAAATTTATTTGAAATAAATTTATTTTGAAATAAGCTTTGAAATTTATTTGAAATAAAATTTATTTGAAATAAAATTATTTTGAAATAAGCTTTATTCCATG